CACATTCACTCAAAGATACAAATTTACATTCACATTTAAAAAACCTGATTTTACTTTATTTTTTGCCTTAGTGATTTTTTTTGCCTAGAAATTTATAATCTTGTCAATATCATCAGAAAGTACTGAACTGTGTAGACCTAATCTTTATCTCCTAGAAACTTAGAATAGGAGGCTTCTTTAGTTTGTTTGTTTCTTCTTTCCCTCAAAAAAAAAATACTTCATTTGTGAAAGAATACTTCCTGTATTGAAAGGAAATATCTATCTTTTACCCCAAGGTATATAGAAGAAACTCTCTTTAGGTACACTTAATGTATTATTTTGGAAATTACTTAGAAATACTCATCTATACCAGATTAAAGTAAAAATGTATTCCTTGTGGTTAACAAATACTGCGTAACTTAACCCTATCTAATTTATAGATGTTTATGTAGTTGGTTGAATTTTATGATAGCTTTGCTCTCTCCTTTTTTTTAAAAAGATTTATTTTTACAGAGGGGAAGGGAGGGAGACAAACATCAGTGGGTGGTTGCCTTTTGTGTGCCCTCCCGCACAACTGGGGACCTGACCCACAACCCGACTGGGAATCCAACCAGCAACCCTTTGGTTCGCAGGCTGGCACTCACTGAGCCACACCAGCCAGGGCTAGCTTTGCTCTCTTCTATGCTTATGTCAGTGTGGGAATGAAATTTCCTTGCAGAAGTATTAAAAACAAGCGTTTTTTAAAAAAATGAATTGATTTATATCAACAGAGATTTAAAAGGCTTATGCTTTTCCCTAGCAAGACATGTATCATGTTATCATTCTGTTTAAATGCAAACTATATAGCAACAAAATACAGCTTACCACATGCCAATATTTCTTCCTCATGAACTTCTGTCTCTTACAATTCAGAGCATTTTTTTTTTGAAGAGGAAATATTTGGCTTGTAGGGAGCAGTGGACATCTGACCTATCGATGTATAAGGAAGGAACTCCCATGTCAGGAAATACAGATACAGTTAAATGCATGTGGGAATGAGACGGTTTTGTAATGCTGTAATGCATTTACACTGAAAGCCCATCACCAATTAAATTTTTACTTGTGTCATTGCTTCATCAATTTCTCAGTGAAGAAATAGCTAAAATATGTTGATAGTTTATTACCCGAATATTCCACTGAACGTTCAGTGTCCCATCTTTACACTCTGGAAGGTGTGGTGTTCCCACAGAAGGGGTTTTACAAATGTTCAGGACATGTCATGCTCCCCAGGAGCAGGATCAGCTGGCGACTTCTTTCCAGAGTTCACATTTTGTATCTGTGCACTGTCATATATTTAACTCTAGTGGTGCAATGTTACAAGTGTCCTGTGCATCTGAGTAGGCATATAATTTTCATAACAATGTACGGCCGTCAAGTACCCTCAGGTCTTTGCTGTAGACGTATTGCAGGTGTCCCAGCAGTCCTGTTGGGTGCTCATTGATGCGGTGTGTTCAGCGAGGGGAGAAGACTCAGTTATTCCTGTTGTGCCCTTGGTGTCAGCCACCCTTCATGGGTTGAAGGTATGTAAACTCAGCATGCAGCACTGCTCAGCACATGCAGCGCTGAGTTTATCTCCTCGACTGTCAGTAAGAGATTCCGGTATTATTACTCAGGTACTCTACATCATGTTATTTTAGTCCTCACAGGAATTTGTCTCCAGAGGTGTCACTGTCCTCATTTAAAGAGAAAGAACCCAAAGGTCAAAGGTAGTTAGCATGGGGGGAGCGACAGTCTGGTAGGTGGTTAATAATAGCACACACGCTGAGGTCCAGGCAACCCGGGTTTTTAATCTAGGCTCTGCCACTTAAAGCTCTGTGACCTTGGGAAAGCTTCTTAACCTCCCTAAGTCTCAGTTTCCTAATACATTGAAAGGTCAAGAATGTCTAGTTTCTCACAGGACTGTCATGAAGATTAAATAAGATAATACTTGGAAACCGCTTGGCCTACAACACATGCTCAGTAGGTAACATATTACTCCTGAGGAAATGACTGAAGGCCACTCAGACGCTAGGAAGGGGCACTGGTGCCGGCACCCTAGGTCACTTTCTCACTCTTCCATTGCTTTCTAACCAATGAAGACATGGATGTGTGAAAGAGAGTAGAGTTAACATAGCCCCTAAAAATTTTAAGAAGGGAGAGATCATCGGTATATCAGGAAAGGTCAAACTTCATGGAGAGCATAAAGTACATAGTTTGGGTTGAGACGCCAGGACATGAAATAAGTTTCCTAAAAAGTTACATTAGTGTTTTTTTAGATGGGAATGGGAAGGGAGTTTGCCCTTCCTGGACTCATCTTTGCACAATATTTACTCAAATCCTTTACTGCTTATTAACGTTAAGCATGAGAACAACAGAAATATTTGGAATCCTCCAGTGATCCTTCCTCACTTGCCACTTTCTCTACTTAAGTAGTAGTTGTGCATATTAAATATTATCCTTCCAATATTTAGAAATTGTAGGCACTGTTGTTTAGAAACAGTTTTTATTTTTTCTTTCTTTGAAGTTCCTCTAATATTTTAATTAAATATAATTCTGGTACTTAATATTTTTGATGTTCTTTTCTAGTTCTTTATTTCCATAGCTTAGATTCGCTACTTAAAGGCAGTCTGTCTGATGTCTAATTAAATTGGCTAATATCCCCAGTATAAGGCCAGAAACAAATTGTAAATTACTCTTGAGATGAATGGTCTCTTTTATGTCTTATTCATCTCCTCAGTGGCCCAATATCTGGCATCAGTTCCATTGATTAAAATTAAGTTTAAAAGATTCCTAATAAGATAATTTAGACAGTTTCAGTTTGACACTGTTAATATCCATTTTTTTAAGGTTACTTTGCTGGTTTTATAATGTAGCGGTTTTGGTTTTGTTAATTTAATGGCAAGTCTTTCTGATATTTGGCATAACTCTTAAATTGTGCTGCAATGCAGACTGGAGATTTTGGAAAAGTAGTGGACTGTTGGTAACTCTTGACACTGTGAGATTTTAGTGCATTCAAGCAAATTTGGCCATTAGAAAGCAACAACGAACTTAGAGAACAGAAAGAAAAAGGCTTTTCTCTCTTCTGGCTTTCAACGAGAAAAGATTAAGCATTTCCTTTGGTCTTAACTGTTAGATCAATTAATTCACCTCAAGCAATTTTTTTTTTTTTGGCCCAAGGAAATCTGTTCTCTGGCCTTTTGGAATTGTTATATTCAGAGGCCAAACTTTTGGCCTCTTTTAAAGAGATATGTTTCAAGTTCTGCAAAGGTGATAACTTGGCATAAGTTTCCAGTGTGACACGTGCACTTGATAATTTACCAGAATGCACATTTCAGACAAGAAAAGGTTGTACATGTGATGCTTTGCTCAGACCCAGAGGAAGTCTGCTGTTAGTAACTCTCCAGTTTTTCACCAAGCCTCATCCTCTTTCTCAAATAAAACTCTAATGAAATAAGTCTTAAAAGTAATGTCAAAGTTAGATTTATTTAATGGTTTCTCTGATTTAAATATCACCACTTTTAGAGAACAGAAAAATGGGAAGGAGATATTATGGCTATATTTAAAAGGTTATACTTTATAATCAGCCTATAAGCTCTAGGGAATATAGTAATCATTGAAGCTTCTATTTATTGAATGGTTGAGCTGCTATATTCCAGGAACTTCACATATATTTCCATTATTCTTTACAATCCTTCAGGATGGGTACTTTTTAAAAAATCCTCACCCAAGGATATGTTTTGATTTTAGAGAAAGAGGAAGGGGGAGAGGGAGAAGGAGGTGAGGGAGAGGGGAGGAAGAGAGAGACGGAAACATTGATCAGTTATCTCCTATATGCGCCCTCACTAGGGGTTGAACCCGCAACCCAGGTATGTGCCCTGACCAGGAATCAAACCTGCAACCTTTTGGTCTATAGGAAACACTCCAACCAATTGAGCCACCTGGCTAAAATGCAGGATGGTTTTTGTTTGTTTGTTTTTTCAATTACCACTTCCCCTATTAGGAGACAGGCTGTAAGAGTTAGCATATTAAGTGGCCAAGCTAAGACTTGAACTTAATGCTGTGAGATACCAACACTCACATGCTTTATCACAAGCTTTAAAATAAGATAATATTTGAGAGTGCTTGGAAACATTCTAAGTAAGTAAATGGTAGTTACTTCTGTTCAGCCATGTTGCCCCCCAGACTACAAATAGACATACACAAAGAGAAGGAGATGGGAAGAGAGAAGAGGAGAGAGAGCATTACGATATGCCACTTGTAAGAATAAAGCATTTCACCATGCTATCAGCATTTCTTTCATATGTATCATCCACGAACAGAAGATAATAATGAAGGAGAAGTCACTTCATAAGATGCCTGATACTTAGGGTTAACCATAAAAAATTAATGTGTGAATCCTTTTTGTGGAAAACCTCAACACATTCTAGTGGGACAAAAAATGTAGACTTGAGCAAATGGAAAACACAAATGTTCTTGGATAGAATGGTACAACATCATAAACATGATAATTCATAATGACTTAATTTATAGATTTAACTTGCACCTAATAATAATACTATTTTTTTACCCTAAAATTAGACAAGACTATTCTAAACATAATAGAAATCTATTTCTTAATCAGGTGTATGGTTGATTCTTTCCCCTTACCACCACTAGTTCATTGATGTTTAGATAAGTACATAGAGATAATTAAAATCATTTTTATTGGTAATGTTCTGATGAACCTTACTCTCATAAGTAGATAGGAATGGGAGGAGTATTCATAGCAGCACCATGCAGTCAAGTTATATGACAAAAATAATATAGAGAACTCATCAAAAATTATTTTTAGGAATATGTCATCTTGAGTTCAAAATCACCCATTGGCAAAAGATTACTTACTGTCATTACAGTATTTCTTACGGTTTCTCTGTCTGGTATATAGAGGTTTTCCGTCATAGCCTTTGGAAACCCCGTGTTTTTAAAACTACTTACCCTGTCATTGTTTTTCCCTTTTTCCACAGTTGCATTAAAATCCTCCCCAGCCAGCAGAAGTGGAGTTCAGGATAACGGTGGAACGAAATTTGGGGGCGGCCTGAACTTTCATGAAGGAGAATTTTTATTACAGGTAAATGTTAGGACATACAGTTCCTTGTCATTAGGGAAACACTTGTAAATGGAGAACTCACCCATCAGTCGTTGAATTATTTTCCCATGTATCTGGAGTGGGAAGTCACGCAGCATCGCACACGCACACCGCCGTCATCGGGCAGCACTCGCGTGTGAGGCTGCACTCGGCGTTGGTGCAGTGTGCCTGTGTGTGTGTGTGCTATGTCGTTTCAGCCATTTAAAAGGAGGTTGTGTTAGCAGTAAAAATGATAGCCTTAGTTGAAGTACATGTTTATGAGTGACAGTATTGTTAGTCCCATGACTGATTTTAGAGCTTCTTCTCTTGCAGGCCCTGAACGGCTTTGTGTTGGTCGTCACTACAGATGCTGTGGTCTTCTATGCTTCTTCTACTATCCAAGATTATCTGGGGTTTCAGCAGGTAAATGTGGCATTCTTACGTCATTAAAAATTTTTTTTAATTAATTTCTTTTTATGTGTCTTATGCTTTAGGGGTGTAATTTGTATATATAAAATATCAATTAAAATATGTGCTATAGAATAAAAATTATGTATTTTCAGCCAACATGTTTTTATACCATTAATTTACTACATTAAAATTTCCATAAATATTTGTGAGACTTATGGATACCGTGTTTCCTCCTTCACTTATTGAGGAATGCTCATTCATGTAAAAGAAATATTCAGGTAGGGACCAGACAGGGTTGTGAATGAGGGCGGGCAAGAGGGTATTTGCCACCCAATTAGTATGGATACTGGCGGATAGACGGCAACTATGAAATGAATAAGGTGATTTGTAAAGGTACACACGAAATACCATGGCCAATACCTTTACTTCTGATTTACAGGGATTAGGGAAGCTTTCCTGAAGGAGATGGTATTTAAGTAACTTAAAGTGTAGGGTTCAGATGGGTAGCCAGGCATGCGGGGACACAGGGAAGAAAAGGCAGAAGGACTGCAAGCAGTAGACTGGAAGTCCTTAAAGGAGGTGAACGTGCCTGGTTTGTTCAGTGTTATTGAATGCATCGTGAAGAGGTGGAGTGGTAGCTAAGGTGTTTGGTATTGGAGAGAAACGAATATAAGACGTGATTTGCACACAGTTAGCAAGTACACCTGAATGGTAGCTCTACTTAATGTATCAATAGTTCCTAAATTTTCACCTGCATAAGACTTACTTGAATAACTTGATAAAATTGTGTATCTTTAGACCCCAAAACCTGGTATTCTGATTCAGTAGATCACAGTAGGTAGGGCCCATGAAATTTAATTTCTGACAAGCTCACAGGTGATATCAAGGCTGGTGGTGAGAAGCACTGTTTACACTGCCATATAGACTGATGATTAAGCTGCGATCATACACAGTGCAGACCACCAAAGGTGTTTGTTAAGGGAAGGTGTGTGTTCCAATCTGTGTTTCAGGTGATAACTCTGGCAATTGTGTTAAAGACAGTTTAATGCTGAAACACCAAGTTGTAGGGAGATCTTCTCTAGGTAGCTAAAGTAGTGGAGTCTGGCTACTACCAGTTTATGAAGGTGTTCTTGAAGATAATTCTGCTGACCCAGAATTGTTTTCAGACTTTTTAAATTACAAAGAAAATGCACTAATGTCCATGGAAGGGCCTGTTTGAAACTTAACTGCCTAGTTTTCTTAATTACTATTTGATAATGTGATTCCTAACAGTTAAGAAATCAGAGATCAACTATTTCCCAATCTATATTTTCCTCACAGGTACACATTAGCATAGATGTTATTTAAGAAAATATTCGTGTCTGACGTGGATTGTGGTTCAGGGCAAGTTGTCACTCCTTAATGGGTAATGATGATCATATGGTGTATCAACCATTCTTTTTAGTTCCTTAGAATGGAATAAAATAGATTGCATAATGTTATCACACAAAGTGTGTTGTGAAATATTTCTCCATGTGTGTATATGCACACATGTTGTGGATGAAAAATGTATTCAGCACCGTGAGTTGCAATAAAAAAAATGTTAGAAAAATCCTGATTTAAGGGTTAAAGGCTCAGCACTGTAATAAATGCTAAGAAGCAATAGGTAGAGGAAGGATTCTAACCTGGTGAAAGGCATAACCCTGACTCTTCTTGAGTCTGCTTGTAGGAATTCAGTCTAAAGAAAACTGTTAGAGAACAGTGAAGAAAATACATAATTCTATTAAGTTTACAGAAGTCAGCAGGGTGTTCAGATAAGGTTTTGTGAAAAAAGAAATACTTAACAAATGAAAATGGGATAAAAATAATCAGAACTTAATATGTTGCAATTAAAGAGTGGCGCGGTGGCTTATGTGGCAAACAGTCATGGAGTTACTTTCGGCCCACCAAGGGCAGTGCTAGTGCCCCTCTAGTTCCTCCTCTCTGGGGGGACTGGCGAGCGCTGCGGGCCGTTTGGTTTACTCGTCACCACTAACTAATCTAGCTGGGTTCTGAAATCACTTTAATAAGTAATATTTAACTTCAAGTCAGTATTTTTGTTTTATCCCCTTGCATTTGTTTTTCCTTAGTCCGATGTCATACATCAGAGCGTGTATGAACTGATTCACACTGAAGACCGAGCTGAGTTCCAGCGTCAGCTACACTGGGCATTAAACCCTTTACAGTGCACAGACTCTGGACAAAGAGTCGATGGTAAGAACGTTTATCAAATACAGTTACGGGCCCTGGCCAGGTTGCTCAGTTGGTTAGAGCATACACTGAGGTTGTGGGTTCACTTCCCCCATCAGGGCACATACGAGGATCAACCAATGAATGCATAAATAAGTGGAACAACATAGCAGTGTTTCTCACTCTCTCTCAAATCAATAAATAAATTTTTTAAAAAGATAGCTTTGGTATTTTAAATATAATTTTACAAAAGGAGGCAGCGAACCTATATGGGCACAGAACTCCTTGGTGAAGATGGGATAATAGAAATGCATAGGTCACAAAGAGGTTGATGAACTGGGAAATATTATTTCCTTCAAAAATGAATGATTTTATTATTTTCGTTTTTTATTTAATTTTATAATGATTTTATTTGACATTAACCAAAAGTGAATCAATTTAAGGAATATTGGAGCAACCATTGATGACTGTTGAGCAGGAAGGTGTTGCCATTTTCAGTGATGCACTTTATACGATTACTCGCACTGTGCCGCTGTGCCACAGGAAGGACTGTGTACAGGGTTGCTACTGGAGGTGTGTCAGTTGTCCTGGGTTCAGAAGGCATAAAATGAAAAGGCAAAGTAGCATGTACAAGTATTAAAAAAAAAAGCTTTTCTCAATGCAGACATTGTTTTCAGAAGTTTGTGGAAATGTTAAAAAGAAAACAATGGCACTCAAAATGGAAATTTTGGCACTTATAGGTCAATAGAAATAAACACAAAACTGAACAGGTAAAGTTCTATGAGGTTCAAGTGATATTCAGTGAGTCTTAGTTTCTTTTCATACCTCCTCTTCTGAAAATAGTTATCTTTTTATCTCCTCTTCTGAAAATGGTTATCTTTTTATATCTTGAATTATAGACTCCAATTTAGAAATTAACACAAATTTCAACTATCCAAACACTTACTGCATTTTTCAGACTATAAGATGCACCCCCCAAATTTGGGAGGAATAATGGTTGTTAATGCTGCTGTTGAGTTCTATTTACATTGGTGAAATATTATGTTATTTATGTTATTAAATACTTTACCACATTTTTTGCTTCGGAATTTTTTTTCCCTATTTTCCTCCTCTAAAACCTAGGTGCATCATATGGTCCAAAAAATACGGTAATTTTACAGCAAAATGGAAAGTAAATATGTGTTGCTATTGTTTCTACAGAAGCTAATGGCCTCCCGCAGCTGGCAGGCTGCCTTAACCCAGACCAGCTGCCCCCGGAAAACTCCGCGTTCATGGAGAGGTGCTTCACGTGCCGCCTGCGGTGCCTGCTGGACAACTCCTCCGGCTTTCTGGTGAGGCGATCGCTCTGGGGCCCCGGCCTTTCCTGTCGATTTAGAGAACTGAAACAGATGACATGAAACCAATACTCTTTGGTTACATTGGAGTTCGGTTTTAAAAATCTCCTTCATCAAGTACCTTGATAAAGGAAAGTATCTTTTAAAATATTATTTCTGATTTTCAAATCTTTAACTGTCCTTTCCAAAACCCTGTCCTTTGGGTTGCGGTCCCAAAGATTGAGGGAAGTGGCATAGAACCTTGTATGTTGCCTACTGTTAGGACTTCTTAGGCGTGTGACAGAGAACTGTGTAGCCCGACTTGAATAACAGAATGCTTACGCTCTTCAGACGTAATGCCTGCTAGAGAGAGCCATCATTACCCTGGCCTTTTCCCCATGGCCAGAGTAACTGCCATGTAGGAAAAGGGCTGTACATTTGTGGTCGTAGGATCAGTGTGTGGTGGGAGATGCCGTTGTGTGGTCTGAACACCTGGGTAGGATAACCCTGGAGCAGTTTAGGCAGGGTACTGAGGGTGCAGATGGTCTGTCCTCTCTGTCGTCTGTACCCGTAAGATAGCACCCCTGCTCGGCCCCCCCGCCACCACCAAAAAAAAAGTGCTCAAATAAGTTTGGGAGACAGTTCTCAAATTTGAATGGGTTTTCTTACTGCAGGACTTCTCAGAGCCTTTCCGAAAGGGGCCTGTTATCCTGTGATCCCCAGGGGAGAGGATCATTGAGCCCTTTGTTCTTAAAAGCCATTCATCTTAAGGCTGTTCATCAAAATCCCGGAGTGTACCCCACCATCCCCCCCAAAAGACTGCACACTCCACCAGCACAGGGGAAAGAGATCACAAGGCATGTTGTATATTATGTTTGTGAATGTCAGGAATTTGAAACAGATAACCAAATCTTAAACATTAGCAAATGTGGTTTTTGTTCTTGTGTTTATTTGTGAAGATAATTTTGCTCACCCAGAGTTGGAATTGCTTTGAGATTGATCGTTAGTACTGAAGAAAAGTATTAGTGTGTATTTTCTGGGATGGAATCTGAGTATAATTGGGTCTTGTCTTTTCTTTCTTGTGCTGTAATCATACTGATAGTATTACCCCTTGTCCTGGTTATTACTGTTTTAAACAACAAAGCTAATCATGCTCAGGCTTAAATTATCTTTGTTTCCTCTGTCTTCTAAAATTATTCTTTACCTTTAATAGAGCTCTGCATTCTTTTTGATTTCATGATGAGTCACATTAATGTTTTAAGAAAACTGTATTTTATCTTTATATGAAAGATTGCCATGAGCTGTGAAATACACCATGAGCCGTGGAATGTAGCTCATGTGTGATTGAAAATTCACGGGTGCTCGAGGACTGCCCCTGTTCATTCCGTCAGGAAATACGTATTGCGTGCACAGTTTGCACTGAGCTGTGCCAGGCATCAGTGATGGGGCACTGGGAAACCAAGAAAATGACACAGGTACTCTGGTTGTGACCACTAAAACACCAGCAGTGGCGTGCTTTTCCCTTTAGTAGTCTTCACACTGTTTCAGAGTCTTTTTAATGGGCTTCCCGTGGAGAGAGGAGTGAAGGAAAGCAGTTTCACACTGAGGAACCTGGGATGTGGCCATGACCGAGCCTTGTAAAAAGGAACATTTTTTCAACTTAATTTTAATGAACTGTTTCTGATTTTTTAAGGCAATGAATTTCCAAGGGAGGTTAAAGTATCTTCATGGCCAGAACAAGAAAGCGAAAGATGGATCAGCCCTTCCCCCTCAGTTAGCTCTGTTTGCAGTAGCTACTCCACTCCAGCCACCGTCTATACTTGAAATCCGAACCAAAAACTTCATCTTTAGAACAAAACACAAACTAGACTTTACACCTACTGGTGTTGATGCCAAGTAAGTAAAACTTTTGCGGTTTTATTTCATCACATGCATATATTGTACAATGTAGTAAGATTCTCTTAGCATGTAAAATATATAGTGTAGATTATAATATTCTATGTTATTTTATACTATTCAGTATAGTCTTCCTTTTAAAATTATCAGGCTCACAAGTCACCTTATTATAATTTTTCACAATACTTGCCCCAATTTCCATATCATAAAGATGACATGCTTAATTAGTAAGATTATTGGGTTTTTTAAAGAGTTTTAAATTGTATAAATTTGACTTTCAGCCCTAGAAATTTAGTAACTTTCAGAGAATTATGGAGATATATTAAGGAGATATATAGGAATATATTAAGCATTCATGTTATAACAAAGCATATCATTGCTTTTCTAATTTCTAATATGGAAATTCAGAGGGGTTTGAAAAACCCTGCCCCTCACAAATGGAGTACAAGCATTCTACATTTTTATTAAAAATTTTGTTCTTACATAATCTATTCTGTTAGTTATCTTTAGCCATACTAACTTCATGGTCTTTATTCAGGAGAAGAAAATAGTCTAAAACTGAAATTTGCAGCCATAAGCAAGAGAGAGCAGTTATATAGATTTGGTTAATTTTTTTACCTGCCAATATAAAATTCTAAATAGGAAGACCCATTGCAGAAAATAGCATGTAGCTGATGAATTTATGTTGGTTACTTCACTTGTTAAATTTTAATTTCTTTTTTTTTAAACAGAGGAAAACTTATTTTGGGCTATACTGAAGCAGAGCTGTGCATGAGAGGATCCGGGTATCAGTTCATTCATGCTGCTGATATGCTTCACTGTGCCGAGTACCACATCCGGAGTAAGTTCTGGGGGAATGCGCCCGCGACAAAGGGCATGTGCTGCTGCAGGACGTGTTTCAGAGTGTTAACATGATGTAATGTATCTGAGGAGATGTTTCCGTCATCTTCCACCTGGTGCCACCCCACTGTGGTAAACCCGAGTTGTTCTAACTCCGCTACAGCGGCCACATACAGCAGTTCAATTAGGATGAAACTGATCATTTCATGCCATGTTTTGCTCAGGAATTTTTTGATGGTGTTATTATTCCTTCATAAATTTATGGCAGTATAGGTTATATTTTAAAATTGTATAGAAAATATTAAGCTGTGGGAAACATTCCCTATTTAAAATTAAAACAATTTTTATCTTTTTCACCCCAAACTATACTCCCTATATAATTTCATGTGTTACTAGAATTGTCTGTTCCTTAGTCTTCCCCTTAACGTTTTATGTAACTTTAGTGTGAGATAACAGCTCCGAAGAGCTATTTCCATGCATTTTGATAGTTTTAAAAAGTTGTCCAGACATTTATCATCTTTGGTGATAAATGAAATACATCTGGAGATAAGGGAGGTTTTGTTTTAGAGATTTTCTTTAATATGTTGACTTCGAGTTTGACTTCTTATTTTTCTATTCTATTTTAGTGATTAAGACCGGGGAGAGTGGCTTGGTGGTGTTCAGGCTGCTCACCAAAGGCAATCGGTGGACTTGGGTCCAGTCTAACGCGCGCCTGGTTTACAAAAATGGGAGGCCCGACTACATCATTGCGACCCAGAGGCCGCTGACGTAAGCACCAACTTAAAATGTCTGTTGTCATTGTTTTTTATGGTGATGACATTTTGGCTTATAAATGCTCTTACTTGAAAACTTAAATTCTAAGAGAGCTTACTCTACAAATAAAAATCGAAAGGTGCATGTATAAAGGACCCTCGAACAAAGACAACAGAGGGAAGTGGTGGGCAGAATGGGAACAACTGTAATTAAACAACAATAAAAATATAGATATACAAAATTAAAAAGTTAAAGGAAAATGTATAGAAAGAAGACATCAGCGAAGGGCATTGAGAAGTCAGACCTGACAGACTGCACTGAACAACTAGTGTGTAGAGTCATGGGAGGAGAACAACTGAGGGATTGAAGGAATGATTCAGGGTTTATCCTGGGTACATATGCAGGGTAAATGCAAAGCTAGTGCCATCTGTAAAATAAGAATATAACAATGCTTTGCTTATTAGCATTTGTTTTCTAAGCACAAGTTTAATTATCCTGGAAATAAATATTTTGTTAAAACACTTGCACTGTAAATTTTCTCCAGGGAATTGATTTTTGTATGGGGCTTGAGCAAGGATCAAGATCAATTTTCCCCCTTGTACTTACTGAAGCCCTTCAGTGTTTAGGAAGCAGTGCCTCTAGCCATAACTTACAGTGACAGAAAGTTTTAGTTTTATGTTTATATTTTAGGATGTAGTAGCAAATTTTTTCAGGGGTAATCATAAACATCCCAAGTCATACATGGTGAGTGTACTAATGAATTAGGCTACATTTTTAGATTATAATGAAGTTTGCTATTTTACCAACTTAAAAGAAGTTGGATGTGTATATCCATTTGACCAGTAACATTTATTGAAAGATGACTTACTGAAAAGGCACCTCTTCTCTGCTGCACTGTCTTTTGATTGGACGGTGAGTCTGTGGTTTTGTTTCAGGGCTCCATTAGGTCCCATTGGTCTGGTCATCTTTGTTTGCACTAACAGTGCATTGCTTTAATTATTCTATGACATGTCTTGATATCTGAGTGTGTGTCCTCCCCTTTTGTTTGTTTAGGATTTTTGTTGTTCTCTATCAAGATCGCTGTGGCTCTTCTTGACCCCTTTGTACTTTCGTACACATTTTAGAAGTCAGTTGTCAGTTCCCATCAGAAAATCAGGGTGTTCAGCCCTTTGGCATCTCTGGGCCATACTGGAAGACGAGTTGTCTTGTGACATTGTGACACATAATTGCAAAAAAAAATCTCATAATGTTTATTAAGTGAATTTAGGATTTTGTGTTGGGCGGCATTCATAGCCACCCTGGGCTGCATGCAGTCCACAGGTTGGACAGCCCTAAAGAGATCACACTGTAATCCTGAGATCCCAGATCTATACAGGGCATTACAATGAAACTATAGCTCATTTGGGGGGAATTAACATCTTTGTAATACTTAACATTCTAACCTGTGAACATGCTGAATGAATATATGCACCTCTGCACTTGTACTTGGGGGTACACAGTCATGTATTATGTCTTTATCTCAGTGATGATTGTGCTTTTCACATGGGTCTTGTACATCTTTAATTTTATTCCTAGATATTTGGTGTTTTGTAATGCTGTATTAAATATGTGTGTATGTGTACACATACAATGTTCAGATTGTGAATTATGTCAATCGTTAAATAAAATGCAAAACCCAGAAGCTATAGAGGTGCCTGTCCCACTCACAGTCCTACATTCTTACATGGAATTTTTTTGGGGGGGGGTTATGTTAGGTAGGGATATAACCTGAGTGTGGAATTAGTGATTGTACTGTATTTGGACAAATTCTAAATCATTTGTCTAAAAAACAATTTTATGGCACCAGTCATCAGAAATATTTGTCAAAGTAATGTTTTTGTGATTTTAGAGATGAAGAAGGAACAGAGCATCTAAGAAAACGCAATATGAAGTTGCCTTTCATGTTTGCCACTGGAGAAGCTGTGTTGTATGAAATCAGTAACCCCTTTCCTACCATGATGGATCCCTCACCAGAAAGGCCTAGAAATATTGCTAGTGGAAAAGATTCTGTTACTGAATCAGCTCCCCACAAGGATTCCCTCTGGACTAGCCTTTTGCAACAAGATAAGTCTATCTATCTCTCTCATGCTGCAAGTAGCGCACCTTTGGGCAGAGATATCCTTAATGACTATACAGACAAATGCAGTAATTGGCAAGATAGCATTGCACAAATGGGAAATGGTATCCTGAAACATGAGCAAATTGGTCAGCCTCAGGAAGTGAACATGACACTCTCTGAAGGTCCAGTAGGGCTCGTGACAGACAATAAAAATAGTGATTTGTACAGCATTATGAAACACCTAGGTATTGATTTTGAAGATATTAAACATATGCAGCAGAATGAGGAATTTTTCAGAACTGACTTTTCTGGTGAGGATGACTTTCGAGACATTGACATAACAGATGAAATCCTGACGTTCGTCCAAGATTCTTTAGATAAGTCTACCTTCGTGTGTCCAGGCTACCAGCAGCAACCACCCACAGCTCTGAGCTCGAGCTGCATGGTCCAGGAGCATCTGCAGTTAGAGCAGCAGCAGCTACAGCCCCATCCAAGGCACCCCGCCGTGGAGCAGCAGCAGCAGCAGCAGCTGTGCCAGAAAATGAAGCACATGCAAGTCGGTGGCATGTTCCCAGATTGGAGCGCTAACCAGCCCGTGCTTTTTAGTTGTCCTCAGCAAGACCAACAACAGTATGGTGTCTTTTCAGACTTACCTGGGACCAATCAAGAGTTTCCTTACAAATCCGAGATGGAGACTATGCCTTACACACAGAACTTTATTCCCGGTAACCAGTCTGTGTTACCGCAGCAGGGGACGCAGTTAGACTTTCCCATGGGGAATTTTGAACCATCCCCATACCCTACTACTACTTCTAATTTAGAAGGTTTTGTCACATGTTTACAAGTTTCAGAAAACCAAAAGCATGGGCTACATCCCCAGGCAAGCCTAGTTACTCCGCAGACATGTTATTCCGGGGCTGTGTCAATGTACCCGTGTCAGCCGGAACCTCAGCAGTGCTGCATGGCCCAGATGCAGTACAACGCAGCAGTGCCGGGCCCACAGGAGTTTTTAACCAAGGTAAGGGTTTTATCTAAATCATCCCTTTTGGATGATTCTTCTTTATTAGAAATACACAAGTTATACATCATTGATATCAGGAGTGATTTAATCTCTTACCTATAGCATTTACATCAGAGAACATTTCTAATTGTGTCTGCGACTACTATTTTTTTAATAAGCCAGTACCTTTCCAGTATGTTACCAACACTAGTATATTGTGTTTACCTGAATTATAAAGGAGAAAGAAATCAAGGGCCAAGGTGAGTGAATATGGCCTTAAGTTACCAGGTGAAATGAGTTACAAGTACAGTGTTTACAGATTTTGGGTTATCTTTCTTGATTCTTTAGAATTGCATGCCTTTTAAAAATTCAAACTTGAAAAATTATTTGAATTTTTAAAAATAATTTTCTCAGTGTTTTAATATATTGTTGAAATTGGGTTACAGGCAATAAAGGTAAGTTTCTTTGCCTTTGCCCCAGACGATCCCTGGAATTTAGTCCTAGGCTCCTTAGTGTTCTCCAGCAACCCCTCCGTCTTATCTGCCACGTCCTCCTTTTACCCTTTAAGGTGAAATACTTTTTTCTGACCTTAAAAAAGGGGTAACGCTGCTGGCTTTCCATCACGGGACTTGAGCTTGACATTGTATTTTTGTTGCTTAAATGTGTCATTGGAACCCTTCTAGCAGCAAGCACACTTTAAATTGAAGAGCACCTTAATACAAAAAAGTTAACGTGATTGTATCTGCTCTTTCTGGCAGCCCAGGGATATGGCATCTTCACATTCGTGCTTTCCATTAAAAAGTGGTTTGTTTTTAAATGTTTTGTAAGTTTAGTTTTGAAGAAAACCCTGACTTAAAATTAAGTTCATTGGTCTCTGTACTATGTATTAGAGTATAGTAATATAACAGTGTTACCTGAGTCTTTATCCCTAATTGTTTTGTGTTTTGTTTTTTTCACTTAATGTGGTCTGATTATATACAAGTTTTCTAATAGAAAATGGCAGAAAAGAAAAGGGCACTGAAGGTTTTTCTTATTCTCATTCCTGACATTTATCTTAAATGTAATATTCAGTTAGAGTCTATTTCATAACAGAGTCTATTTCATAACACCGCCATAAAGTTAAGCATGGGTAGGTAGGTACCTTATCTCCTGCATACTCTTGAGTGTATGGTAGAGAACTTACTTATGTAACACTGCATTTTGAACAGGGCTTTCATTATCTCGTGAGTTCTTTTCCGTGACCCCCTTCCCAATTTTGTGTGACTTCTTTATGAATAACAAGAATTCTGTAGTCCGGCAACTCCCCCGCCTCTGTAGGGTAGCCACTCCACGTGCGGCTAGCCCCAGATGAGATATGGTGTAAAATATACACCAGTTTTGGAGATTTAACTTGAAAAAAAAGTAAAATATACATATTTTTATTGATTTTATGTTGGAATGGTAAATTTCAGCTATGTTAAGTAAAATATATTAAAATTACGTATGTGGCTCACATATTTCTATTAAACAGCACCGCTGTAGACAATCTAAAGGGAATTGCTGGCATATGTTATGACTGGTGAGAGTAATGTATTTAAGACCAAACATTCACTGGGCAAATAATATTACCTTCCATTTGAAGACATGACAAGTTGCCATTCATGGAAGATCTAGATGATGTGGCTTTTACTATATATTTAACATATGTTTTGGAAGATCTTTGATGTAATCAGCCTTTTGAGCACTAAAGCTGTCACATTAGCTTTAGAAAAGCAGGTTTTATTGGAAGGAATTAAGGGTACGATTTGAATCCATGTGAGAGTTTCTACAACTCTCACTAACTGTATTCTGTCCATAAGCCTCTGTAGTCTGTAAGACCCTGCAGCACTCTCTGGGGCCTGCTTTATTTCCCCCTCAGTAGCAGTTAGAAAAGCCAGGCTGATTTTATTATAAGAAAGCTTTTAATAAACTTGATTCTATAATTAGGACGGTAATTATAGTGGTGCTTAGTAATTTAAAAGTACAGTACAAATAAGAAAATGGTTTAGGAAATCATACTCATGGTATAATATTTTTAGGAATAGTAGGGAAACTCTAACAAATCAGAACTAGCCTGTTTTGGAAAAGTCTTGGGTCATCTGTATTTCCAGTGTCGTAATCTCGAAGGCAGTAAATTCCCTGGTGCCCAGAATTAGACTGTGATGAAATCTGGTCAGGGCAAACTTATTACTGAGGACACATGCGGAGGTGGAGGGGGTGGGCAAAAGTAGATTTACAGTTGTTTGTATGGACGTTAACACAGGAATACACACTCTGTGTGCCTCACACTCACAGCTGTGTAAACCTGCTTTTGTTCCTCCCTGTGTAACTGTAGTTTATGATCGCTACTCTTTGAGTCATCAGTCCTATCCAAAACTGAAGGTGTACTGATCAAATGCTCTCCTGATATATGGAACGCCAAATCCAAAGTGAAACACTTCATTACCCCTCGGTATCATCTGCTGGAGGAGCCGGAAGGCTATTAACGTGCTAATATACATGTGCTCAGTGTGTTTTCATTGCATGATTTAAAATTTGGCAGCAATAATTTGAAGTTTAACATCATGTAGGGTGAAAATTTTAAAAATACATTTTAATATGTTATTTAATGGGTTAAGATACTTAAAGATCCATTCTAATCATTGCACTGCTATTTTTGTTTTCAGTTTCAAAATGGAGTTTTAAACGAAATCTATCCAGCTGAACTAAGTGCTACAAATAACACTCAGATGGCCACACATCTCGAGCCCCTTCATCATCTGTCAGAAGCCGGACCTTTCGCCAGTTTGACATCTAGTAGATTCCTATAATTCCAAGATCGATTTTTACCTTGGATTTGGTTGAAATTAGTTTGTGGAAGGTCGCAGTTACTAAAACTGTCAGTGTTGGGCAGCAGCAAGTCCACATGGAGACACTGACGTGTGTCGTTCCCACCGTTAATCCCAAGCCACATTTTAGTGTTTCTCAAAGAGGAGTTAAAAACAGACCAAGCTTACATATTATATACTGCAGTCATTCAAACAGAAAGGGTCCTGTAACAGACTGCTGAGAATTGCCACCTACATTTCACATTCTGAGTGCCACAAACTAAACAAAATTTATTCAGGGGCATGTTAAGAAAATGTTCTCTGTTGAAATTGTTTCTGTCAGAATAAAAAAATGCTTTGAGTTTTGCACTTCTGACTCCTTAGTTCTCTAAACTAAGTTATTACCCATAGTTACCAAACTAAACTATTGCCCACATTTTTTCCCCCCTGATAAGATAAGTGGTTTGGTGGTCTGCTTTTTTTGTTTAATCCTCACCCAAGGATATTGTTTATTGATCTTCGAGAGAGTGAAATGTCAATTGGTTGCCTCCCATACATGCTCTGGGGATGGAACCCCCAAGTGAGGTGTGTGCCCTGACTGGGAATCGAACCTGCAGCCTTTTGGTGCACAGAACAGCACTCCAACCAAGTGACCCAGCCAGGGCGGTTTGGTGCTTTTGTAGAAAGATAATCTCAATGATTTCCTTCTTTATTGTTAAGTGCCTCACAACTTTTTCTTGCTATAACACTGTAAGATGTACACTTTATATAAAACACTTTTAAAAAAATTAACATTCTACACACAAGTATTATTTACATTTCTTAAATTCAGTCATTTTTATTAATCCAGGCATATTTTTAACTGCACTACTCACCCACTTTCTTCAGGTAAAAAACAGTGATTGAAAAGATTATTATATAATCTAATTTCTAGACTTTAAGTGTTGCTATGTGCCTTACATTGAAAAAATTTAAAAGTACAGTGTCTTCAAATTATTTCTTGATCATTATGTAAACATTGAGACAGCGGCACTAAAATTTCAACAGTGTGTTCACAGGAAAGAGATACACCACCGTTTACCTCCACTAAAACCTCCACTGTGGTAGTTGAACGTTGTAGTAATGAAGAATCTGCTGTTATGAAGACAACCACGTTTATTGATCTGCAATGAAGAGGAGTTTTGTTTCTGGGTCATTCATTAAATTAAAGCAAACCACCCATTTCACTGTGTAAAAATTTTTTACAAACTGTTTTAGATCTGTAATCTTTTAAGGTATGTTGACTTTATAAATTTCACTTCTTAGCCCAGTGGAAACTATTTGTTTTTCTCACATTTGAGAAGCAGTAAGACTGAATATAGCGATGTTTGGTGCAGAGTATTGTTGTAAGTGAACAAATGGTGCATTGTATGCTTAATAATGAACAAAATTATTTGTAAAATATCTTGAATTTTTCATTTTAAAAATAGTCGATATATTTTATATGCACATAAATTGTCTGGGTTTTACATATTTTATCAGTCTTAAGAAATCAAATAGTGAAAGCAACTGCTTTTAGGTTGGTATTAAGAAAAAGATAGGGGTGATTAATTTCAAACATGAGGTTGTTTCTATGCTAGAATGACTTTAATTATCAGTAAGACAAATTAATCACCCTACTAACTACTGTCCTCCGGTGATTTAAAAGAAGTGCCACCATCTGCCAATCTCTCGCTCAGCTGTGATGTCTGAAGAGCACCAGGCGCGTTTGCATGTATTATACAAACACACGATGGGCTCCGAAACTGAGATGTAGTGCTGAAATACATTTTCCTTTTTTTAAGTAAGTTATTGTATATAAAAGTGGCTTCAGACTATATGTATGTCTGTTTTATGCATTTTCAGTCAAAATTTTGAATCTGTAAAGTCAATGTCAGTGTTGAAAATAATACATTTGTCTAAAACATTTCATAATTTGTTCCCAGCATGAGGTATCACTGAAGATTTAGACCCATGGTCTAGATTAATTCCATTTTTACATTTAAACTTGAATTAAAAGTCTTCCTCTGACATTTTTGTTAGTCTTCCCCTGTGTCATTGGATAAAGTGCTTAGTGGAAAATAGGCTTTTTAAGTTGTGACTATGGCGACAATCAGTTATAGACTTATAAAATAAAAAATTAAAGCAATATTGTATATTTTTATCTCTATAACATAACTAAAGCTTACCTACGAATAATAAAATCACATTAAGCCAAATATACCTTTGTCTGCATTGCTGAGCGTACCAAAACAAAGAGGGAAAGCTTTGCTTACTTCTGTGTGGAGGGAATCATTTTTAGATGGTGTGCACTTCTGAGGACCTGGATGTGTCTAATTCACACTCTTCCTGTCCCAGGTTGTCCTCGCGGTACCTGCAGATGGACTGGTGTTCTGATGTATTATAAAGCTTTCAATCACTACTATGTGCAAACCTAGTGTTTTTCAGTATTACTAAACTTTAGATGTTTTCATACCTTTTCTAGATATTTTCATACCTTTTCTCTTTCCTTCAAAATGTTACTGCTTTACATATGCCATGCATACATTTTTGTTTAAAATACAATTTAAAATACCCTATTATCAAACAGTTGTATACAGTAATATATATGATAATAAAATAATCACCAATATTAATGTTTTAATGTAAATTCTTTCTGCTTCATATAAAGGACATTAGTATTTAGAGTATAGTATTATAACTATTGTCAATAAATGCAATCTGTAACATTTAAGGATCTGTTAAGTCAGTAGTTCGTAAATTTCGTACAGGGTTGTACCCATGGATACACTGGCTTTTATCTGAATATATAAAAAAATATATACTTCCAGTAACTTCATAGATTTAAAATGCTTCTGAAGTAGACAACTCTGACCCTGACCCATGTCAGTGACATTTCCTGCTTGGGTCAGAAAATACTGCCCACCACGTACACTCTGACACACAGACGGGACGTTCAGCCTTGTGGTGTCAAATTCACAACTGCTGAACACTCACCAAGAGTTCCGTAATTAAAATTGTCTGAAGAGAAATTCCTAAGAAAAACTGTTTTATTCTAGTAGCAATTACTTTTATGTTTATCCTTTACAATCATTATTTTTTCAACAACCTAAAATAAACCTAGCAAGTTAGTGTCATAATTCTGAACATTTTAGAAAAACTAAGTTGAGTTTTATGTCAAGCAAAAATACAGATAATCATTTTTTCTCTCTGCTTTCACTCAAATGGCTTCTACCAGCACACATGACCTCAGCTCACCCCCTTCCCACCTTGCCCCGGGGGGTGTTAGGTCCATACACGAGTAGGTAGCACTCGGTTTTCTCCCAATGTGTGCAGGTGAACTTTCAGTTTCACTGATAACATGGAGGCTATCACATAAAAATCCATAGCATCCTAGGTGTGTCTGTGCCGTCACCTCAACACTCCCACTGTCCTCGGTCTCAGGCCCACGTCCAGCAGTACACAAGGCAGGGTTCCCTCCCTGCACGACTGGCACCCTCCTGTCCAGCCCTCACGCACTTGGCGTCCACACTTTCCTTGTCCAGAAATCTGTTTCCCCTTCTGCAGCCCTGGAAAAAGAGTCCTCTCTTCTGCATCCCCTCTTATTAATTTACTCCTTTACCTCCTGTCTGTAAAACAACTTGCGATCTCCTGAAATCTGGTTTCATTTTCTACCCTTCTGTATATTGTTTGGCTGAGGTTTACTTAAGTCCCTTCTTACCACATATGGATTCTGTATGGCCCTGCAACCAAACTGACTGAGTAAACCGTTTTCCCCTCCCTTAGCTTCCAGGGTATCAGTGGTCCTGCAGCCTGTCACTTTTCTGTTAGCTACTTCCCTCCCTGCACCGCCTCCTGCCACCTAGTAACACGCTTAGTTATGACCATTTGTGGTTCTTTATCTACATACTGTCGCTTTGGAAGCTCATCCCTTCTGGAATTACTACCTTTATGATGAATCCCCTCAAAATCTTGTCTCTCTTGTTTCTCACCTCTTTAAAAACATGAGATAAAAAGATAACCTTACCTCTGATGTTTATGGAACATTCTTCTCCTTTGAAAGCAAAGCTAAGCACACAGCCTCTAGTCAGACTGCTGGCTTCACTCAACACATGTCGGATGTGAATGATTGGGAAACGTTACATTGAGCTCGGGTCTCCTTTACTGCAAAACAAGGATAATGCTAATACCTGCCTCACTGCACTGTTGGGAGTCGTCAATAAATTATTTAAAAACACTTAGTGCCAAATGCCCAAAACTTGGAGAAATTTGAGGGACAAAAAAAAATAAATAATGGTAGCACTGGGTTATAGCCCAAACAGTAAGTATCTGTACGTTCATCTTGATAAATACATGAAAAAAATGAGGGAGAAAAGCTTCCTTTCAGAAAAGTCCCAAATAATATTTTAGATACTCTTCCCTCCAATAGATGGAGCTTACTAACCCTCCCTCTTGAGTGTGGCCTAGAACCTCAGCAACTTGTTTCCAAAGAGTAGAACACAGGGAAGAAACAAGAGTACATTGTAGAAATCTGGCAGGTGCTACTAAGCACGTGTTCAAGGGCAAGCAACGTCCCCATACACTCATGATAACATGCCCCCTCTAATGTGATTCTGTGACAAGCATACTTCAAAACTTGATCTGTCAAAATTACATAACCCCAGTCTAACCATGAGAAAAGATCAGACAAAACCAAACTATGGGACACTACAAAATTTCTGGGAATACTCTTTCAAGTGTCAAGGCCATGAAATACAAGTAGAGACCCAGACACTGGCACAGATCAGAGGAGACCAAGGAAACACGATTAAATACAAGATGGTATTCTGGATGTATCCTATAAAGAACACTAGGGCAGAAACTGCAGAAATCTGAATGAAGTTTAGTTTAATAGGAATAACTAATGAATTTCCTAGTTTTGACCTGTATACCACCCTTATGTAAGATGTTAACTTACAGGAACTTGGATGAAGGGAATAAAGTCTTCATATCTTAACAATTTTCATTTAAATCTAAAATTATTATACAACAGTTTATTTAAAAATCATTTCCCATACTTTGCCCATGGATTGGAAAGATTAATATTGTTAAAGTGTCCTTAATACCTAGAGTATTAAGGTCATTGTCAGAACAATTAATTCTAAAATTTATATGGAACCACAAAGACCTCAAGTAGTCAAAGCAATCTCAAGAAAGAACAAAGTCGGAGGTATTGTGCCCCCTGCTGGCAAACTATACTACAAAGCTATCATAGGTAAAACAGTATGGTACTGGCCTAAAAAAACAGATATATAGATCAATAGAATAGAATACAGAGCCCAGAAGTAAAACCCTGCTTTTATGGTCAAATAATCTATGACAAAGGAGGCTGGGATATACAATGGAGTAAGAATTTTTTTTCAATAAGTGGTGTTGGCAAGATTGGACAGACAAATGCAAAAAAAAAAATGCACTGCCTTCATATACCATATACAAAAGCAACCACAATGGATTAAAGACTTAAATGTTAAGCCTGGAACTGTAAAACTCCTAGAAGAAAATGTAGGCAGTAAACTGCTTTACACTTGCTCTTAGCAATATTGTTTTTGAATATATTTCTTTTTATAAAGGAAACAAAAAATAAATGAAACAAGCTTTTTTCACAGAGAAGGAAACCATCAACAAAATGAGAAGACGGCCTACTGAATGGGAGAAGGTATTTGCAAATGCTACATCTGTTAAGGGGTTAACTTTCAAAATATATATTAAAAAAACTCATACAACATACCACCAAAAAAAAAAATCCAATTGAAAAATGGGCAAAGAACCTGAATAGACATTCCTCCCAAGAGGACAGAGGGCCAAGAGACATAAAAAGATGCTCAATGTCACTCACCCTCAGGAAATGCAAATTTAAAACACAAGGAGCTATTACCCCACAGCTGATAGCATGGCTGTCATCATCGGTCAGCAAACAACAAGCAGTGGCGATGATGTGGAGAAAGGGCAGCCCTTCCTTGTACACTATCCACAGGATTGTAAATTAGTGCAGCCACTAAGGAAAACTGTGTGGAGATTCCTTAAAAGCTTAAAAACAGAGCTTCCATGTGATCCAACAATTCTACTCCTGAGTAGTTATCCAAAGAAAACAAAAACGCGAATTTGAAAAGGTAAGTGTGCCCCTATGTTCATTGCAACATTACTAGTAATAATACACAAGACGTGGAAACAACCTAAATGTCTATCAATAGATGAATGGATAAAGATGTGCTATATACATACACTGGAATATTATTCAGCAATAAAAAGGAGTGAAATCTTGCTATTGGCAACATGGATGGACCCAGAGGGCATTATGCTGAGTGAAATAAATCTGAGGAAGACAAATACTGTGTCATACACTTATATTTGGACTCTTAGAAAACAAATGAATAAACAAAAACAGACCCATAGAGAAAAACCTCCCCTATACAAGGGGAGGGGTAAGTGGACAGGGATAAAAAAATAACAAAAATAAAAATCATTTTTACGTTAAAAAATAATTTGTTGATTGCCACATGGCAATCAGTATCTGCCATTACTGTCGCCCTGATAGACAGACCACCCCCTCTCAGTCGGAGGTGAATCCACACTGCTCCCAACCCTCCTCGTTCTCTTTCCTGAGGGTTTGATGAGATCTTGGTTTTCAGGCTCCAGTTCTATGGTCCTTTCCACTTTGATCCCCTGACATCATCCTTTTCAATGGCCTTGTTTCCGACGGTCCTGTACATCAACAGTAATAACCTGGTTTCCATGCCAGCTAAGCACAGCCACCCCTCACACGGAGCCCTGGCAATGCCTTACTTCTGTCAGCTTGAAATCACAAGTTGCCCAAGTTCCCTCTTCTAATCACAGCCTCTTCTGCCTTCCCAGTCCTTTCTCCTCTGTTCAGCGACTAGCTCTTCACCCTCACTGTGATCTCCTGCCCTGAGCGCACATTGTCCTTATTCAGTCCATTAGCCTAGACTTAGTATCAAGATTTCAGTGATATTGTTGTTTACATTCTGGAATTACCTACTTCCTTATTGATTGATAACAGCCACTCTAACCCATGCCCCTGGCCCAACACTCTGATAAGCATTGCTGCCAGAAAAAGTGACAAAGGTGGAATAAGGTTTACCACAACCTGTTACCATGTGTGTGGCAGAGACTTAACCTACATCAATATCATCCCTTCCTTCTTGGCAAGAGAACCCTAACTTTTCCCTGGTCAGGTTGAGGATTAAAAAGACTACATTTTCCAGACTCTTTTGTGGAATAGGTGTAACTAATGTAGTTTCAGGCAAATACAGGAAAGCCAACTTTGTGTGATACTTGCAGAAGAAGTTTGCTTAAAAAGACAATGCAAATGCAGCTTCCCCCCTTCCTGCTTTCCCTCTCTTCCTCGCCAGCACACGTGGCTGTGATGATGGATAGAGAGCATGCAGCTATCTTGAACTGTGAAGACACATAGCCATAAACTAGGATGACAAAACCAAAATACGATGATCCAGGGTTCCTCATGGCTTGGAGAAACCAAACAAAATTTTATCTGCCTGCCTCTGGACCCCTTTTATATAAGAGGGAAATAGACTTCTGCCTCAGATGACCCACCTTCTCATCTCTACCGCCCAC